ATAGGCATCTTCTATCGCACTCCTGACAGTGACCTTGGCCTGATCGCAGTGCTGAGAGGGCGGCGCATCCCAAGCTGGTCTTGGGCGCATCTTGAGCCGATGCCAATTGCTGTCTATGTTTTGCATCCTGCAACTCCGCTCTGCCCAGCCTCGGCTTGCTGGTGAGAGTGCCCTTGGAGGCGCCTACCAGCTTGGGCTGGATATTCAAATCTAGCTGCGCCAGCGTATGATTAGACGAGACTGCCAAACCACTATTGTCGCTTACCTGTGGGCCATGGGCAAGAGGAAGACGCGCGCAGGGCGCCGCAATGCAGTCTAGCCTTGCCGTGGGGAAACGCCCCTAGGAGGGGGTCCATGTCTCGGGCAGGGCCCAGTGCAAACGTGGCTGGGAGAGCCAGTTTATAATTCCGCAGCTTTTCATTGCATACTTTCCAGGGGAATATCCCAGCTCCCGACCCGCAGGCCCGATCGAGGAAGAAGCCGCGATGCCCGCGGAGGCATTGGCATCCATTGGAACGTAAGGGGTCCGACGCTGCGCCGCCGAGACTTTGGGCTCGAACTTGCCCCGCCGCTGCGAACTATCCTCGGGGCGCTTCGAACGCGGAGCATGAGCCGCGAGGAAGGTGATGGGCATCGTACCTAGGGCCAAAATTGCCTCCGACATCGTAGGCCTGGAATGCGTGACAGTCAGTAAAGTTCGAGGAAGAGAAGTGTCTGGAAAGCCGGGAATGAAGGGGGCATGCCGTCTCATTCGCAGGCGGTAGCCTTCAGGCCGCGGGGGTTTTTGGCCCGTGGAGAACAAGGTATTGACCGGCATGTGCCCGGCATTCCCTCGGCCTCCGAGGTCCCACAGTATTGGCCACAAGTAAACGCTGCTCCGTAAACTGATCAGCAATAAGCCGAGGTCCCCCAACTGCACGTGATCCCCCTGGTCGCGCGGCTCATTTGCGCGAGACTTGGAGAGGAAGGGCGCTGGCGAACCCTGAGCGCGCGGTCGCCTGCGCGCCGCGAGTGGGGTGGGGGGGGGGGGGGGGGGATGGAGAGAAGCAAAAGGAATTTCGTGATATGGTCCAAGTTGGGAGCGGAAGGGAGGGGATCGGACCGATGGGGGGTTCCGAAGCTACTATCAACTGGTTACCGCGCCTTTCTGGAAACTGGAACGCCTTACCTATGTCATCGAGGGTCGTCGCGCCGCCTAGTTGATCGAGCCGTGCCCGAGACGCAGCGACGCGCTTCCATGGGCAGCCCTCCAGCGCCTTGACCTCATCATAGGAGGCAAGGCCAACAATCGAATCAACAAGCTCGTGCATGGGAACGTCCGAATGCGCATGTACTTGCTGGGGGCCATCCTGGCGCTCCAAAGAATGGACGCGCGCGAGTGCTCGCAGCGCCAGCGAATGTCCAGCCAACGGCGGGGTGTTAGCCAGCCTTCGAGCACCTCGCACAATACATACATTGTCCACATGCAAAGAGACGCGTTGGACTGGAATCTGAGCGGCCCATGCTAAGGCCCACAGAGCCGCGGTGATTTCGGCTTGCAGATTCGACCGAGTAGGTTCCCACTCGAGACCCCCATCCAGGACACCACCTGAGAAGGCACCCAACATCTCCTCGCCACTGTGCGAAGCAAGCGCAAACCCGAAGGCCCAGGACCTGGAGGGTGTGAATTCAGACGAACCTGCAGAGCCGTCGCTGAAAGTGTTGGCCCGGGCGACGCGGGTAAAACAGCCGCCCAAAGGATTCAGAGAAGCAAGGTCAGAGAGAGTAGCGGGAGGAAAACAGTCCTCCCACCTGCGCCAATCTCGAGGAATAGGGGGATCCCATTGCACCTTAATGTCCGACCAAAGTGATTCAGTCGACGCCCCGCTAGACCTGGGCCGGCACAGAAACGGAAAGAGCGCTTAAGAAACAGAAGCCGAAATTATTCACACCACCGTGCGTACTGGGAGCCTTGGCGTTGAGAGCTTGTTACATCACCCCTCGCTCTGGGGAGCCTTGGTGTTCAGAGATTGTTGCGTTGCCGCCCGTTCCTGAGCCTTGGCTGGGCCTTGGTGTCAGGAACTTGTTACGTCACCGCTCTCTGCTGGGAGCCTTGGTCTTATCAGCTTGTTTACGTCACCGTTCGCTCTTGGGAGCCTTGGTGTGAAGAGCTTTTTGCGTTGCCGATCGCTCTCTATTTGGCGTCTCTGGGCCTTCTTCGGAGTCCTATTGGGGCCCTTGTCGGGCCCTTTTGGAGGCCTCTTGGGAACCTCTTGGGGGCCTCTTGGGGCTTCTTGGGGGGTTCTGGGGGCCTCCTGGGAGCTTCTTGGGGCGAAAGGCTGGACTTTTCGGTTCGTGGTCACCCTCTTGGGGCCGTCTTGGGGCCCTCTTGGGCCGTCTTGGGCGCCTCTTGGGCTGTCTTGTTGCTCTCTTGGGCCGTTTTGGGGGCCTCTTGGGAGCCTTTTGGGCCGTCTTGGGGCGGTCTTGGGGGCCTCTTGGAGCGTCTTCAACGCAGTGAAAGCCGAAAAGCCTTGTATGCTAAAAATGTACACTTTCGCATCGGAAATCAATGATGTTCGCCTCCCGGTGGCCTGTTGGGACGCCTCTTGGGTCTTTTTGGGGGGCTCTGGGGGCCTCCTGGGAGCGTCTTGGGGCGAAAGGCTAGAATTTTCGGTTCGTTGGCCCCTCTTGGGGTCGTCTTGGCGCCCTCTTGGGCCGTCTTGAGCGCCTCTTGGGCCGTCTTGGGGCCTTCTTGGGCCGTTTTGGGGGCCTCTCGGGAGCCTCTTGGGCCGTCTTGGGGCGGTCTTGGGGGCCTCTTGGGCCGTCGTCAACGCCGTGAAAGCAGACAAACCGCATGTGCTCAAAATATACGTTTTCCCTTGGACAATATTGGGGCCCTCTTGGGACGCCCCTTGGGCGCCTCTTGGGGGCCTCTTTGGCCGTCTTGGGCGGTCTTGGGCTCTCTTGGAGCGCTCTTGGGCCGTCTTGGAGGGGAACCCGAAAAACATGCAAAACCCCGAGGGAAAACCCCCCAAGCGGCCATTAACACGCAAATGTTCCCCCTACGCCCCCCCCTGGAACCCCCCTTAAGGGGCTTCGCCCACACCAGAACGTCATCACTCGTACCTCGCTCTTTCCGTTACCTTAGCGTGCTATATCGAGGAAGCCCACTCCCATCCAATTCATCGCAGGCAGCTGCGATCGGAGTGGGCGGCGTGCCAACCCCATGTGGGGTTCTGATGTTGCGCCTTGACCATCTCCACTGGGGGCTGCTGTTCCCGAGTCCGCCTCTCCGCCCCCAGCGGTGGCAGCTCTCGGGGAACGTGACGCACCGGGCGCGCGCTTGCTCTCTTGCTGAGCCTGCTGAGGCGGCGGGCACGCCCGCGTGGGGCGCGCGTGCAGGTAGCTGTAGTTGTCCCTGTGGTGGCGCTGCTGTCGCTGGCGGAGGCGACTGGGCCACCGTTAGTTCTGCGGCAGCCGCAACTGGGACAGTTGGCCAGATTGCCGCGACCAGGGCCTCGCGTCGTGCTGCAATCTGTGTGCGCTGAGAAGTCAAGGACTGCGAGTTGTAATCCATTCTTTGTTGATAAATCTGGAGGTTATCATCGGCAACGGTGGCACATCCTGTGAACTTGAGAGCCCGCGTCGGACGCTGTTGTGATTGTTCCGAACGTGCACCAGTCTCCGCCACATTTCTCGTTTCCACTAAATGTCTACGATCCACCTGGCCTGCCGGTAACGGCTGCCGCACCCGTGGCTCCCCCTCTTGACCGTCCTCGTCCATGTCTTCTCGAGGCGATTCATTTGGTGGTGGAGTGGGCTGTAACTGATGCAGAGCTCCGGTATGTCCCTCGACCCGATGCTCGGACTTGTCGCGCTGAACGGAAAGGTCCTGCAGCTCGGCCTATAGCTTAACGATCTTGTTTGGAACGGTTTTGTGTTTGGCGTGGGCTTTCTTGAGGGCGGCTGACTGGCGTTCCAATTGCCCCTCGTACGGCCTGCAAATATGTACAGCAGCAATCGTCACTCCAAACCATTATCTTTCTTCCTCTGCCGAATCCCCACGCTCCTCCTCTATACTTCTCGTTGCTGCCAACGAACGTTCTCAGCTCGATCCTCCTCTTTGGAATGTAGGCGGACGTCTCCGATTTGGTGGGAGATTCTGGCAGCTGTCCAGGCAAACGGAAGGGACCTCTGGCTTAATTTGGCAACGCTGGAAATATACCCAATGGTTCGCGTTGATTCTGAGATGTAGATTCGTCTTCTTCGTCCTCCTCTTGAAAAGACACGGCTGGCAAGTGCTGTCTTCTCGGAGGTTTCCTCAGGGGCAGGCGATCGAACATCCCGCCCCTTCGATGATGTCTTCACCCAAGCCGCCGTACGATAGAAGCCGTGAGCTGAGTGGGTCCCCTTAGCAGAGCTTTTGCCCCCCGTTTTCGGACTGGACTGAGATGGATGCGGCACTGGTACATGCATACAGGGTCGACAAGGTACGCGATGGGAAGTTGGATGGACTGCATTGCTCGCAAAACCAGTTGTCCATTATCTGATCTGATGAACGCTGAGAGGAATTATGCAGTGGAAGGCGCAAGCGTGCTGACGCCAGTCGGACAAACAAGCGATGGTCTGCACGGAGCTGTCTCTCACGTTCATGCCAGGAGGGTTCTGACGTCGTACTATCGCGGTCGGCCACACGGGCTGGCACGCTAGGTTCTGGCAAGTGAATGCAAATAGTGAAAGGGTTGCGGCCCGCATCGTCCATCCAGAGAGTAGGACTCAAACGGGAATTGAAGCAGGCTCGTGCCAAAGCCTTGAGGAGGAGGAGGAGGAGGAGGAGGAGGAGGAGGAGGTGAAGGATCAATCTGTCTTCCGCTGCCTGCACATTTCCAGCAGCCGTGGCCCAAAGAGCATACGTTGTGGTTCGGTCTTTGAGATGGAAACCCGCTCGAACGGGGGCGAGTGGCCTGGCTCCCACTGCCTCCTTCCCTGGCCTTATGCCTCTCTCCCTCTGTGTCCCGGAGGTGGCGCCCACGCCGCCATCGCCCGCAGCTCTGCCCGCGCCCGCCGGGCCGCCGGTGGCCGAGGCGGCAGCCATCGGCGACTCCTCCACCGCCAGTGGGCCGCTCAGCTACCGGAGGCTGGAGAACGGCAATGCGCTCATGGACCTCCACGGCTTACCGGTGGAGGTTGCGAAGATCGCGGTGCAGGTGGCGCTCGAGGACCTCCTCTTGAGCTCCTTCAGCGGAGAGGAGATCGGTGATCTGATCATCATTACCGGCGTCGGCAAGCACAGCCCCGGGGGCGTCGCCATGGTGATCCACCGCCAGAGTATCCACGGCCTCGGAGTCGCGCCTGGGGTCTCGGAGAGATGGAGACGGACATCTGCCCGCCCCTGCGGGTGGAACATGTCCGCATCAATTACTCCCCAGGGCCCCGGGACAGGACTCCCGAATCTGTGAATATGGATGTCTCGTGGCGGTGCAGGTGAGACCCGCGGTGATCGAGTTTCTGCGCGACTCGCTATGCATCTCGGGGCGGACGAAAGGGGGGGGGCCGTGAACGGGGGGTCTACGAATCCTGCTCCATGCAGAAGGGTTCGGCTCCGCAGCCAGGTCCATTCTGCGAAATGCAGCCCACCTTCCAGGAACATTGGCTGCATGCAGCTGTCGATGATCCTCAGGAAGTGTGTTAATTTGTCCAGTGTGAGTGTGTCTGTCTGTCTGTCTGTCTGTCTGTCTGTCTGTCTGTCTGTCTGTCTGTCTGTCTGTCTGTCTGTCTGTCTGTCTGTCTGTGCGGGTTCTCGACTGCCAGATTCTGGATGGCTCCCGTCGCTCCCGAAGGCTCCTGGGTTCCTTGGATTTGTCCGTGAGACCAGAGGACGCCCAAGGGATGTAGCCCCCCCCAGGCCTGGCGCTGCGAGGCACTCGCAGCCGTCCGGCATCGCCGCGCCGCATGCGCCAGCGGACGACTCGCGGCCCCGGCTCCCAATTGGTGCTGTCCGCCCCTGGCAGCTCCGAGCGCCAAGATCCAGCCACAGTCTGACAGTGCCTTCGGCTCTGCTGGCGCTCCCCCGCCCAAGCAGGCTAGCGGTGCGACTGGGGCGGCAGTCTTGTCCCCGCCATTCACGCCCGGATGGCACATGGCGCTGCTTCCCTCTGAGCCCGGCGCGCGCGGGGCTCTGGCCGTTGCACTTGATGTTCTTCGCCTCGACGCTGCGCGCGAGGTCGCGACAGTTAAAAAGTTGTCCGTGTGTGTGTGTGTGTGTGTGAGAGAGCAAGTGTGTGTGCGTGTGTGTGTGTGTGTGTGTGTGTGTGTATGTGTCCAGCCCGTTCTCCCGCCTGCAAGGTCAGGGCGCGGTCCATCGGGCTCCACGCTGTCCATGGGGAGGCTCCTCCACCTAAACAGTGGGCTCTGGCAGAGCCTAGGGGCGGTTCCCCTGTGAGCGCGAATTCTTTGTTTTTGACGGAGTCGCTTCATCAACAGTGTCTTTGTTTGTCTCGCAGACGACGCTCCCCATGCGGCGCAGGTTGTCATTCCCTGGAGGGACAGGGCCTTTTGCCAACAGTCCATGCGCGGGCGACGGACAGGACAGGAGCCCATGCTGGACCTGGACCTCGTTACACCGACGACCAGCTCAGCACTGTCCTGGTCAAAGTCCCTGCCCGGGTCACGCATCCAGGCTTAAGTCGGGCATGTCCCTCTACAAGAGGAAAATTCAAAAATAGTTAAAAATAGCCTGGGGACGATATTTCCAATATTTTTCTTAATTTGTTTTGATTATGTTTGAATATTCTGATTGTTTCGTCGAAAGCCCGCCTGTAGGGGGACATGCCCGACCTAAATCCAGGCTCGGGTGGTTCTGTCGTGGAGGCCAGCTCGCAGAAAAGGCCCCTCCAGGGCGCTCTCGCGGCCGAGCCGTCCTCGGCCTCGTGCCGAGCGCTAGTTGGGCCTGTGCGGCCATGCGCCCCTGCCCGCTCGTTCCCTCCCCCCGTCTTCCCACTTCGGGCAAGCGCGGCCGCATCCTGCGCCGTCGTCGTCGTCGGGCGTTCGGCCGGGCGCATTCTCTGCTCCCGGCTGGTGTTGTTGTCGCCACTGCCTTCTCCGTTTTTGGATGCTGCCTCAGTTTTCTCACTTCCACTCTGCCAGTGTGGCCATGTGCGGTCCGTCTGAAGTGGTCCCGCGTTTGAGGGGCCGGCCGCGCGCATTGGCCTAGTGCCGTCTGCTCGACGTGCTGCGCCTCGTCGCTGCGCGCAAGGCCGCGGCCGCGTCGCGCCTTTACAGCTTGGTTGCGGGGTTTGCAGTTTGTGTGCGCCTCACTCGCCTCTCGCATTCTGTGTCGTCGTGCCCTGATGCTCCTCCATTTGCATGGCCCCATCGGCGTTTTCCACGTGCAGGCGCGTTCTCGCATGTTTCTGCGTGCGTCTGCTTCCATCCAAACCCTCCGCTTGCAGCGCCAGGTGGTACTTCACACGCCGAACCCGCATCGAGATTTCATGGTAATGAACCGTCGTGGCCTGCGACGATGGTGGCAGTGCGAGTCCGACCCCCTCGTTTCGTCACCCACGGAAGTTGAGTGGGCGGTTGCTTCGGGAGAGATGTCGGGGGAGCTCTCGGAATGATTCGGGAAGAGCGCGCGCGCAGCGCCTGGATACGAAAAAGGTGGCGCAGCTTCAAGGTACCACCCCCCTCCCTTGGGAAAGGGGATGGCATTCAGAAGTCCCCCACCCCCCCTTTCTTTGCGCCCGCATTTGCTAGCTTGGGGGCCCTGGCTTTAGGGTGTGGGTGGCTTGGGCCCCCCCCCCGTTCGGGGCCCAGGGTAAGCCCTGCTTCCCCTTTCCACGGGGAATGCTTCCGAAGCTACCCCCCTCCCTTCCTTTGTTGGCATTCGCGGCCAAGGACAGTCTGGGCGGCATGCGCTGGACTGGGGTTTCGGGGTTGCGCAGTTCCACGACGTGAGCGCGCAGCAGCACCCGACTGGGTTTCCGCAGTTACGCGACGTCGAGTGGCCGGGCGATTCCGGCATGGACGTCAACCAGGACAACGGCGATGACGACAACCAGCAACAAACGCCAAGCGATGCCGATGACCATTTTCAGTAACGCCCCCTATCCCATTTACAGCGGGAGCATCCTCGGGATCGGCAGCGTCCTCGTGGGCGGCGGCGTCGTCAGGCGCGGTGCCACCGTCTCCTACGACGGGTTTTAGTGCAGTTAATGCTGCAGCAGTGGCGGCACCGCCGCCAGACGAGGGCCACGACGTGGGCGTGGCCACGACAGAGGATAGCTCAATGAGTCAGCCAGACCAGGAGCCTATGCCACCGACGCCACTACCCGCAGCGCGCGGACAGCAGGGGTCTGCACCGCCGCCACCTTGCAGTTCGGGCACTGGCCCCGCTGCGCGAGAGCCGACGTCGACTCGACGCAGCCGAGGCAGTGATTTTCCGGAGGTCTGACAGGATGTACCGGGGACCACCTATCGGAAAATGCTCACAGTTCAGCAATCCCAGTGCCCGACAGCGCCGACGACGAGCGGGCGAAATTATTATTCGCACTGGGGGCAGCGACCTACCATTCGGATGGGACTTCGACGGCGCGCGTGCTCAATTCGACGACATCCACGCGAGCGTGTCTATCCGCGACGCGAAGCCCGACGAGAGAGCAGCGCCCTTGGAAAGCAAGCGACAGGTTCTCGAGGAGTTCTTTGGCAACGCCGCGCAAGAGTTTCACTGGCCTGCCGGCTGGGGCGCGTGCAGGGAGAATGCAAGTCTCGCGCTGCGTGGATTCAGCGGCGCCGACGCCTTCAGCGATGAAGTGCCGGCGGCTTGGCGCGCGGCGGAGACTGCGCCTGGTCGCCCGATTACTGGCAGGAACAAGCGATGGAGATCGCGGGCAGCAGATGCAGTGGCGGCATGTCTTCAAGGGCGATCGCGCGAGAAAGTTCTATGCGCGAGCCCCCGCTGGCGCCGCAGACGTCGCGGGCGTTGACGCCGAGGCGCTCACGGAGTTCATCGGGCCAAAATCCGGCCAGGTTGGCGCCCCTAGACGACAGTGGTGACGAGCAGTCAGTGGGCGATCTCTACGCGCGTGGATTTCATTCCAAAAATCCAATAGACCAGTGGGTGTTCACGAGTCTCGACAATGGCGACGACGGCGACGGGTCCGCGCTCCTGCGCGGTGACTCCGTGCTCGGAGGCGGAAGCCGGGGGGCCGGGGGTATTTACGACGAGATCATGACGAAGGTAAAACAGAAGTTGCAGTTTAGGAAGTGGGCCGAGGGCGACAGCGTGGACTGCTGAGGAGTCGCTCCAGATCAGCAGGCGCCCGTGTGCATGTCCGTGGACGGCGCCGCGATCGAGGCAAGATGGCCACCGGCTCCGAGAACCCCAAGCCTATCGCCCTCAATCAGAAGAACGGCGACGACCTCAGGGAGCTCAACCTGGAGGAAACGCCCCATCTACGGCCTTCTCGGAGCACTGCAATGGTCCAGCTCACGGGCGTGACCGCGCATCTCGGCGTCGGTCGGCATTCCCCGAGGCCGGCGGCCGACGGCGACGGCGGCCACAGGGGTGCAACGCGACGCAACGCGACGCTGCGGTTCTACGAGCAGAACGGACTTCGGGTTCGAGATGCGCGAGGTCGGTCAGATCAGCGACGTCGCGTTGGCGGCTATGACAGCCGCGGCACGGGGGGTTCGGCGCGATGGGCCCAGCCGAAGAGACTGCGTCGCCCCGGCGTGCCGCGAGAAGATATTGCGCGGATTCGAGGCCATATTCGCTGCGGTCGACCGGAAGTCGTTCCATCGTCTGCGCGTCTCGAGATCTTCTCCGCGCGCGGACTCGCGGGCGGCGGCGACCGGCGCGGGCGCCTGAGTGTTAGTCGCAGGGTTCTGGCCTGCCCTATCTACCCAGGCAAGGACATCGCGAGCGACGAGGGCGCCCGCTCGCTGGAGAACCAGCGCTGGCGATCGGCGCGGAGGGCATCTACCGCGCAGCCGAGACGGAGATCGCCGCGAATACTCAGGACAAGAGGGCAGGCGTCGATCCGCTCGCTCTGCGCGGGCGGATGGGGGCGATGGGTGCCGCCCGAGAAACATTGCGCGGATGGGCTCGTCAAGATAGCAGCGCGGCAGCTCTTTGCGGACCGACTGCGGCGCGGGCGCTCGAAGCAGGCGCGCGGCCCGACATGCGCGGCAGCCGAGAATTTTGCCGAGGAGGAGCGTCGGGGGGGCGCCATCGCCGGCCGCGTCGTCAGCGATGGGCGGCGAATGCGCCGCTGATGCAGCTCGCAGCATTCGCGACGTGCATCTGCAGGGTGGCGGCCGACGCTGGCGAGGAGACCATGGACGAGACCTTCGCGCCCTGGTCTGCGGTAGTTGCGCGGGTGCTCGGGGCGGCCGCGGCGCGGCCAACCGCCGACCAATTCAGCGAGTCTCTGCGCGACGTGGGGCTCGTGCATGCTCGGGGCTGCAATCCAGCAGGGCGCCGGGAAGTACTGCGGGGACAACGGCTGCCGGGAAATCAGGGCGGCCACTTGCGAGTAGAAAAAGAGCCGGAAGCCCGAGCAGCGCAATTGTAACTGCGCGCCCGACCGCGCGGTGGCCAGTTCGGAGGAGAGCTACGACGCGAGGAATGTTGGCGCCTGTAACCTCGGCGGTGCCCGATGGCGATTCGCGCGCGCCCCTAGGGTTCGGCCTGGGCGGGCAAGAGCCCACTGTTCAGAAGGGGCAGATGCGCGCCCGCATGCGACCTGGCCAGGCGGACCTGTCAGTAAGGTGATTTTTCTCATTGCTGGTATCGTTGCGTTTCGTATTCTTCATTCGGCCATCGGCTTGACTTCCTCATTTCTGTGGGTTTAGTTTTGTCCTTTCTTCGGGCTCCTGGATGGGGTGCGAGGTATGCGCGGTCTATCGTGCGCAGTGTAGCAAGCAGCAGCACGTGCAAGTGCTGGTGCAGAGCCGCGTGTCGAGGGTTTGCCTGCGCTGGTCGTTCTGGCTTTAACCTGACAGAGGGCCCTTAAGATACTACGCATGGGGTGTCACGCCATGCTTGAATGTATTCCATTTACTTGACAAGCGCAGTAGCTCAGACCAGTTCGTATCTTCTGAGCGCAGGCTGGTCGGGGCTACCCCTTCCCGCAGTCGTTTTCCGCAATCGTGGGTGCAATCAGTCATAATGTTCCCTTCCCGTGCATATTCGACCGCGATTTTGGTGTCGCATCGCCCGCGCAGGAGTAACCCGCGCATATTGCCCGTTCATCTGCGCGCAGTTTGCGTCGGCCCTCACTGCGTTGCCTTGGGGCGGCTAACCGGCAATATCCGGCGCGATCCGCCATTATGGCCCCTGGAAAGGGCAGGGTAGCAACTGCTAGGTCGTAAGAACTTTCCCAGGAAATGCCTCCTCAGCATTTACGCCCCCCCCCCATCGCCCGCCCCGAACATCGCGGTGCTGGAGACGCCGCGCGACGGCCCGGGCCGGCTGCGCGTGCCAGCGTCGGAGCTGAGGCGCATCCGGGGCGTGCCCAAGCCGTCCTGACGGGGCCAGCCTCCCAGGGGCATGGGCGCCTCGCGGGTTCGGTAGGAAGAACAGGAGGAAGACGAGGACGACGGATGATGAGGAGGAGGAGGAAGAGGAGGAGGAGGGAGAGGAAGAGGAGGACTTGTCGTACCCGCCGCGTTTTGTTTGACTCGTTCTCAATGCATTGTTGGCTGAGGCGAGTCTTGGGGTGTCGAGATTTGCATGTTTTTTTTTTTGGGGGGGGGGAAATCGTGGTAGCCCCAGCAGCAAACCAGGACGGTAGGTCCCCGCTGTGTGCGGCGGGATGGCGGGTAGGCCAGGTCAGCGATTCGGTAGTGTGGGCGACCAGGGATTCGCTGCGCCGCGGGGGTGCGTCAGGCTAGGTCCCCACTGGCTACGCCAGCTTCGACCGCAGCGCATCGGTTGTAATAGGCTCCGTTCGGCTCGGTTCAGTCGGTGTTGATTGGCTGGATTGTTGTCGATCTGGGCGTTCTCGATTTTGGACTTCCGACCTGATGCTGATTTCGAGCCGGTGGAGATTTGGGTCCCGTGGTGCGATGGGGGGACATCAGCACGGTAGTATAAACAATTGCAGACAATCGGCGAAATTCGCGGAGATGGTTTTCAGCATCGTTACTTGTCTCATAGTTCAGATGAGCGGAACCAAAAGAACAGGGTATTCTCCACGAGCGCTGATGCGCTCACCATATCTATTTTCCTATCCCCCTTGCCTCCTCCTCCATTGTCTTTTTCTGGGGAGAGCCCCCTCCCCAGTCCTTCTTCCTTCGCCCTCTGTAGATGTTGATGCTAGACGTATACTGTTGACGATCTATACGTGTACACACATATATATACACATATGTATATATGAATATATACGCACACACAAACATACGTACACACATACATACACACATACATACACGCACACATACATACATACATACATGCATGCATGCATACATACATGCACAAACACATTTAGTTATACATGTTTGGGATTGGTGCGACACACACATATATCTATATCTCTCTATATATATATACATACACATATGTGGGAAAGGGTTTCCCAGGGGGGGGGGGGGGGGCGGAGTGCATTGAATTCTCTTTTGGCCGTTTTGGACCCGTCGGAGGGCGCCAGAACGCGTCAAAGGAGGGGAAGGGGAGCGTTGAGAGGGCCCGAGACACGTGCAATAGGGCGCCAAGATGACCCAAGAGCGTTCCAAGTGAGCCCAAGACAGTACAATCACGCTAAGACAGCCCAAGAGGGCCTCAAGATGGCCAAGATGACCTCAAAGGACACCCACGAGGCCTTCAGGAGGCGAAACAAGCAGTTGCTTCCGGGGGGTAGGGGAGCTTTTCCTGTTATCGCTTTTTCGTGTTTCCGACGGTCCAAAACAGCCCACGAGGCTCCAGAAATCAGCTCAGGGCGGCCCAAGAGGCACCCAGGGCGCCACGACGGCGCAAAAGAGTCCCAAGAGCGCCCAACAATGCCCTAAGACGGCCCAAGATGTTGAAAAACGCGGCCCCCAGGCCCAGAGTCGCCCCCTGATCTGCTTCTCTCTCTCTCTCTCTTTTCTCTCTTGCTAGTTCGACCGACGCTTGTTTGGCTTTAGCCGGCTTGAGATGATTTGGTCGCTGGAGCGAACAACCGAGGAACATCACTCCTGCCCCCTAGCGTTGCCGCGCGCTCGCCGCCATACCTCGCTGCGGGATTGGAGGGGGAGGACACTGTTGACCCCCACGGCTCCGCAGTGGTAGCGGCGGGCCGGTTAGCGCGTCAGGCGAGAGCGAACGAGCTGCAGGCAGTTTTTTGGTGGAGATGGCAGCAAGCTCTGAACGACAGCAACGAGCAGTACGTGATCACGGACGAGTGCGACGACAGGAGCGATGCGGTATGCGTCGACTCCATGGCGATATCCGGCGATGGGCGGAGGAGTGCTCAGCCCGGGCGCCCTTCCTCCGCGTCGCAGCGAAGGCGGGGGATTGTCGGGGCAGCAGCGAACCTTGACGAGTGGGGTGCAGGCGCCACAAAGGACGAGTCGCGAGCTTGAGGGGGTCCCGTCGTGGGATGAATATCCGGGGCGGCGGCGGCGGTGCAAGAACGATGTGGAACTATGGATCGAAGGGGTCAACCTGGACGTGAGTTGGTCGCGGGCTGCCCGGATGGTGAGGTGCTTGATGGGCCCGGCGAAGACGCTCGGCGAGTCCATCCCGATGGTCGAGCTGCGCGCGATGCCCTGGAAGTGGGTCCCCGACGAGGAGCTGGGCGCCGACGCCGCGGAAGCGCTCCAGCAGGATGGAGAGACCAACGAGGAGGAGCGCGGCCACTGGGAGGAGCCCGACATGATGGCGGACATCAACAGGCTGATGGAGGTGCTCGCGACGATGGGCGTGGGCGAGCCGACCAGTCGCGGCCAGGTGAATAATGATTTCTATAAGCAGTTGAACAGGCGGGCCGGAGAGGACCTGAACGCGCGGGTGATCAGGTTCGGAGGAGTTCGGAGTCAGCTCGACGAGGAGGACGGGGCTCTGCCGCCGAGGGCGGCGGGCTGGTGGCTCATCGAGAAGACGGGCCTGACATATACGCAGAAGAGCATGCTGATGACCTCGATTGGCGGCAGCGTGGAGATGCGCGAAGTGGTGTCAGCGACGCTGCGAGAGTTCCCCAACCTGCGCGCGACGGGGCGCCGCTCGAACATGTTCGATCGCAGCTGGAAGCCGATCGCCATCAATCGACCCGGGGCGCAGTTGCTGAAGAAGAAGGTGGTGCGCAAGGTCAAGGAGGTCAACGTGGCGGAGGGCCTGGGCGGCATCAACCAGCTCGACGAGGGCGAGCTGGAGGCGCTGTGCGCTGAGATCGGCAGCTTCGACGGCGAGGCTGGCGACCAGACTGCCGAGGGGAATTTGACGAAAGCGCAGGACCTCGACATCGAGGGCATCCTTGCCGCGGAGCTCGAGGCGCTCTCGACCGTGTTTGAGGGGGCCGAGCACGAAGCCGAGCTTGCTCAGGAGTTCGGGGACTTGGAGAGCGGCGTGGAGTCGATGAAGGAAGGTCCCATCGCGGTGCGCGAGAGCAAGAAGCGCGCGATGGAGTTGCGCGAGGATCGCAAGTTCGTGGGCGCGGGCGGCGGCGCAGGCTCGGGCTCGAGCTCGAGCAGCGGCGAGAAGTTTATCTCGAGCAGCGGCGATGGCAACAAGGGCCGGGGCAATGATAACTCAGACTGCCACGCCAGCGGCGAGAAGGGCCACTGGGCAGGCGACGCCTGCTGCCCAAAGCTCATGGAGTGGAAGGCCGAGCGGGCCAGGAAGAAGCTGCAGCAGGGGATTAGGCCGCGGGGCGCGATGGTGGTCGATTTGTTGGAAACCCAGCAGGTTCGCGACGCGCAGGAGGCGCCCGTCCAGAGGGATGTTTTCGAGGCGCTGGTGATCAAGCGCGATCTCGGGCACTCAAGCGCGGCGGCGTGGTGCAAGGGCTGCAGCTACCTGGGCGACGACCGCGGCGTCTGCCGCGCAATGTGCGGCCGCGACAACCTGGGGGCAGCCGGCCGCTGCGGCCAGATGCTAGAGGGGGCAGAACCCCCGCGGACGTTCGAGGTGCTCGTGACAATGAGGTCGCCCGGATGCGGGAGTGGTGCCCCGCGTTCTTCTGGTGGCGGAGGGCTGGCGCATGGGCTGATTCCTGGCTGCGGGAGTGGTGCCCCGCATTCTTTCGTCGACCGCGGCGCAGGTCGACGAATTGGCCAGGTCTCGGCTGTTGGCTGCGCCCCCGCCCTTCCGTTGCGAGTCCGACTTCGCCAGATGGGCCGAGCGACGAGCGAGAGATTCAAGAGGTTTCGCTGTCGTCCGCATCCATCGATGGTCGAGGCGACCACGGGGCGCTGGACTCGGCCTGCAACAGCACGGTGTCGGGCGACGCCTGCGCCAACAGGATCGAGGTCCGCTGTGAGGAGCTGGGCGTCGTGGAGCATATCAAGAAGGAGCCCCATCTCACCGCCTTCCGGTTCGGGAGCGGCCAGAAGCATATCTCCAACGGGCGCCGGGTGGTGCTGGCGTCGGTTCGCGGGGTCGACGCCTGCCTGGCCTTCTCGGCCGTCGCGAGGACTCGGTGCTGCAGCTGCTCATCGGCAAGGGCGCGCCCAGGAGCATGGGCGCGGACATCAACTCCGCGGGGGGCTCGTTCAAGTCGGGCAAGCTCGGCGTCGCGCCGAAGCGCTTGAACCGGGCGGACGGCGGCCGCTATTCGATGCCGATCTTTCCGCGCGACGGCTGGAAGCCTCCGCGGGGGCCCCCGGCTACCGAGGCGGTGTTCAGGGTGAAGTCTAAGGTCCCGGAGGCGCCGACGACGTCGCGATCCGAGATGGCCGCTCGGCTGGCTGACCGACGTGCTGCTGGGGCGGGGGCGGTGCTGGGTGACGCCGACGAAGACTGTGCTCGACGGCGAGATAGTCATCTCCGGCCTGGAGGCGCGGGGGCGCCAGGACTGCGACGCCAGGGCGCTCGAGTCCTCGCCCCGCGACGGGCCGAACTGGAAGCTGGCGAGGGCCCGCGAGACGATCTGCACGGGCGCGGGCGACGTCGTCGAGGAGCTGAGGTAGATCATCGGTCTGCCAAGTGAGGAGGTGTCCGAGCCGCTCGACCCGCCGTGGAAAACGATCACCTGGCTCTACTGGGAGTCGGGGCCCGAGAGACCGAGGCTCACCTCGTCGGAGGGCCGGCCTCTGTTCTGCGGTCGAGACCATTTACTGCGTGTTCCTCAGAACGCGCTGGGGGACACGGCCGAGGCGTTGGAGATCTCGCGGGCCGAGCACCTGAGTATCGAGGTGCTGATCGACCGACTGATGGAGGCAGGCGCGAGGCAGAGGCGGGGGGCGCCTCAGGAGGAATGCGAGGCGCTCGTGAGCGCGGGCGTTTTGCCGGGGGCCTCAGGCTCCGCCGGGCCAGCAGGCAGCCCGGCCCCGGGGGCGCCGAGCTCGGTGGCAT